AACCAATCTAAAGAAAAACCAGCAGCTCTTAATCATTCATCTATTTATGTGTTCATTTATATCTAGCATTAGTTCTATATTGGCACTATTCTCAGTACCAGGAGTTACACTCATCAAGAGAAAGATGCAAACTGTTCTCAAAGGATTTTCTTTACTAGGGACAACAGACACCAAATAATTACAATAAAAAATGATGAGCAGTGAACACTTCAGTAGAGAAAATATAGGATGATGAGGGTAAGATGACAAGGGTGATCATTATAGTCATGGGGAATAGTCTCTGGAAAAAAGACTCTTAAATTGATGTCCAGTGGTTAACTCAGAATTAATTAGATGAAAGGATTATAATGTGGATATGAGTAGGAAGGAAAAGAACATCCAAAGGTGGACAAGAACATAGGGCTTCTTAGAAACTGATAAAAGATTCATTATATGGCTAGAATACCAAACATCATGGGGAGTATTGATTATAATGATGGTTGAAGAAGTAGACAGGAACTATATAAAAGAGACTTTGCTGCAAGTAATTATATAGAGTTTGGATTTTGGTTATATTTTAATTTAAAAAAACTACTTTGCTGTAGTGAAGAGAGAGTGCATTATGGAATAAATTCTGAATTCATGGAAAGGTTAGTGGGCTGGTCTTACAGCTCAGGGTACACATGGTATTGCTTTGGATGAGAGAAATGGTCATAAAGACAGAGAGAAATAGGATGTGCATTGAAGGGAATCAGTGAATGGATGAAGTTAGAGGGTGGAAGAATAAAAGATGATTCCTGAGTTTCTGTATTAGACAAATGAAGGGGTAGTGATGCCATTTATTGAGATAAGGAACACTGGAAAAGTTTTGTTTGGTTGTGTTTTGTTGTGTGTTTTAGCCAGGGTGTCCTTATGTTATTATTTTCCTACCTTCTGGGTAGCAGGGACTATAGGTTCATGCCATCAGGCTCAGTTTTCAGGATGAACCAGGAATTGAACCTAGGCCTACTACTATGTGATCTTAGCCTGCCAACTACCAGCATTTACCAGAGTCAGCTGCTGCAGCTGAGCTTAATTTTTGACCCTTTGAATGTGAACTACCATGAAAAATCTACACAAAGATGATTTGAAGCCAGAGGGTTATATTTATTTGTAACTGAGTATCAAGATCATAACTAGAGATAGAGGTGTAAAAACAGATTTTGAAATAAATAGCATACAGTTTTAATAGGAACTTTTAATAGAAATTGTTGTTTTTAATTGCCAGAGGACACATGTGCTTGCCAAAAAGAGACAAAGAGACAGAGAAGGAGAGAGGGAAAAAGCACCTCCCAATGGGGCTTGGTCATGCCACAATCTTTTCTCTTTCATTTCTCCATCCTGTCAGGATTTTGGGACTGCATACATGCCTGGTGTGTTTTTCAGGTTCTAGGGCAAGGATTCAAACTGTAGCCCACCATGTGGGATCTGACTCCTATAACTACTAGGCTACAAGGCTTGGTCTAATTTTTTTGGAAGCTTTGAGAATTAAATTCCAAGAAGAGAGAGTAGAGATGAAAAGAAACAGCTAAGACAGACACCAGAGGAATACTGGCATTTAAAGACTGAGCAGAAAATAAAGAAGGAAATAATGAAAGAATCTGAGAAAGAAGCATGAAAATGAGGTTCACAGATACCAAAGGAATACTTCAAGGAGGCTAATCATTTATAATGCTGCTGAAAGACTGAATTCGATTAAGAGATTTTTCTACGTCACCATAGTAAAGACTATTTTATAAGTTTGGTTAGTTAGCTAGGTGGTGATGCTGTTGTCCCCTCTCCAACCCTCCCCACCCCCCATCCCTTTGGCTCTGGGAGTATCCATCCTCCAGCTGCTGGTATAGATGGTAACCTACCCACCACACCTTTCTCTAGATAACTATTCTTAGTCAAATGGGAGCCTAATCAACCAGGAGGCAACCTCTCTGACCTCATAACCACCCCGAGAACCCTAGACAGTGATTGACCTTGACTTCCAGATGAGACTGAACTCTGTGGAGCAGTTCATTCTCCAGAACCCTCTGTGGGCCAGTCTCCACTGAGACCACCAGCCTGCTAGCTCTTTCCTGCTGTCTCATCCTGATTTTCTAAATTCCTCAAATCATCACTTGAACATGAATCTGTGTCTCAGATGTAGCTAAAGAACTGAGTAAAGACAGCTAGTAAATCCTATCTTTTTAAAAAATTATGTTCTTATCTATTTGTCTACCTATTTATAAACAACAACAACAACAAAGCACATAGGTCTCAACAAAGCTTTACTAGGCCTACTGTAGGACACATTCAGTTTTTAATAAGAGGACAGAGATGAAGGGAAATCTTTTCCTTTTTCTCCCCCCTTGGCTAATAAAGCTACCTATATAATAGGCATTTAAAGAGAAGTAAGTGTGCAAATTTACCAAATTTAATAATAAATTCTAAGGAGAGATACTTATCTATGTGCTAAAACTTTGCTTATTTTGACTTTGCACAAAATTCAATTCTACTTTAAGTGTTCTGTTAAATGAGATATGCTGGAGTTAAGGAATGTGCCCCAGATGATGGACTCCTTGATAGTGGTAAGTAGGGGTCTGTGTTTAGAGGAAAAGTAAATGTTCAAAGGAGGCTTCAGGGAGAAAGAAGCATCTGGAGTAGATCTTGAAGGATGAGTTGAGATTTGAAAGTTAAAACTGAAGAAAAAACATAGGGTGCACATGAGGCACTGGATACAGGTGAATTTGGGGCCCTGTAAGAAAGCAAATGTTGGGACCAGCTGATGGTGTGATGGTTATATTGCTGGACTCCCCTGTAGTCAACCATAATTTGAGTCCCAGACCTAGTGGCTTAAACTCATGCCAGGCGTGGGTGCATGTGTGCTCAAAATCCTGAGAGGAGAATGGAGGAGAAGAGATCACAGAGTGGTCAGCCCCCAGGGGGTGATTTCTTCCTTTCTGTCTGTTTCCATCTTTCCAGTGAGTGCAGACACCCTTTAGAAAAAAATCTCTCTTAAAACAAAACAAAACAAAAAGGCAAGCAAGTGGCCCAGGTTTCTGGAGCTCAGGGAAAAGAGAAGATACTTAAACCCTGAGTATTTTCAGTCAACCTGTCTATATAGTTTGGGAAAAGTAAGTGGTTGACAGGTTGTAGAAGGCATCCCAGTAATACTCTGGAGAACTGACTTTGAGGAGCATTTTGAGAATGGCAAGTGTCTGAGACAGTCCAGAAACGAAGATTTTAAGGTTAATAATGAAAAATAGGGGCCGGCAGGTGGTATAATGGTTAAGGTGCTAGACTCCCACATGGTGAATTGCAGTTCAAGTACTGGACCTAGTGGCTTGAAAATCACGCCTGGTGCATGTGTGTGCATGCCCCAAATCCCAGAAGGAGAGTGGAGAAGGGATTGTGGCATGGCCATCCCCACTAGGTGGTGATTTCTCACTTTTCCACTCACTGTCTCTTTCTGTCTCTCTAGTGACTACATGTGCCTTATGGCAAAAACCTTTATAAAAATAAAAAAATGATTTATTTCACAGTCATAAATGTCCCAATATAGAAGTACATACATTCTAGACAAAGAATTTCACCTTCAGTCCAATAAAATCAAAACAAACTGCTACTTTCTTTTTCAATTCTTTTGCAATACTTCAATAGACAATTGATTTAGGAAGTGGTAGAACTTGGAAAAAATGAGGGTAGGATGACCGAGTCTGAACCAAGAATAATAAGTAATTACAGATAAAATAGAGAAATACTCATGATTTTAGCAGCAAAGAAAGAAGACATTTTGGCTTCTTCTTCAACCTCTTCTCTAACTTGCCTGGAAGCCTATACTTGAGATTTCAGAATTCATATGCAGTTCACTGAGCACTCCAAGTTGGAAAAGATCTGCTTCACTCCAAGAGGGTTACTTTGTTCTTACTAAATAAAATTGGCTAGTGAGGTTATACATAATGTCTAGTCTTACAGTTTTGTAAATGTTGCCCTGGCATTTACTTGTCATGGCTATTTGAGATTATGTACAAAATTTCAGCTAAAGTTTTCATTCCTCTGTTTTCCTTGGTGACAGGAGCACCCAGTGGTGCTGACGAAATTTATTGAGGGGGCCCGGGAAGTAGAAATGGATGCTGTTGGCAAAGATGGAAGGGTAAGTCCTTTGTCCTCATCGCTCCCATCCCTACCCTCTCATCATGCCTTTTTCATTTAATAATCTTGGAACATTAGCAGGTCAGCATTCATAATTTCTATAAAACAGGTCTCTAATAATAGCGAAGATGCTGCTCAGTCAAACAAAATCAAATTCACTGATGATTCAGTCATTGTGTCATGGGTATCTTATTTCCTGTGTTTTATACTTTTAGACTTCCTCTTTGATGATATTCAAAATTAATTATCATCCTGTACTCATTTTTTGGAATAGACTTTCTCTCTCATTTTCTTTTGTTTGTGGTTTTTCTTTTATGTTTCAATGGATATTATGAAAATATCTCATACTTTTCCTTCTGAAGTTTTAATTGAATCCTTGGTTTTTGTTCTTTCTTAATTTGCCACCTTTTTCTCTTTTTATTGGGTTAATAAAGGTAAAACCAAACAGAAGAGGGTGGGTAAGGATAATAACATAAAATTGGCTTGTTATGTCACATCTTCTATTGCTAATAGAATGGAATGAATGCCTCTAACTTCAGGGAGAAATAAAAATATGAAGAATGTTTTACTTTTGCTAGTTATGTTAATAAGACAGCTGTGATTTATCACAAAAGATGGAAGTTATGTTTTAGGAGTCCATGTCATTCTATTTACTTTAGGGAAAAATAAAAGGTTAGCTTCGTCTTCTGCTTTGCATATACCTCATAACACCACGGAAGGTATGATCATTCTTTTTCCAGATGAACATTTCAGACTAGGTCTCTCTCTCTCTCTTTCTTTTTATATCATAATGTTACCTATTAACACAGAATGATAAAATCTTAAAATACCCTTAGAAATAATTTATTTCAGCCATTCTGTTCCTCCTATAAGGATAGGATTATTCTTCACAGCATCCCTGAAAATTACTACTCTGTTTTATTTTAAACTCTTTGGTGATACAGAGCACAAATATTACAAGATTATGTATTGTAATCATTTGTTGCTATTTTTGGGTTTTTGTGGAGTTTGCTTTTGGACATGTCAGGTGTTTCCTACCTTGAATCAAGGTCACCTCGTCTGAAACTGTCATCTCAGACCTCCTACATTTCAGAGCATACATTTAATTTCTCTCATTCACATTTTACATATGTGAAGACTGAAATATGAAATAAGAGGAACGTGATTGGACTTTTGTGGAATGGGAGAAGAAAGACTGGCCTAGCAGCATTCACACTTCCATGAATATTGTGCCTGTAAAACGATGCTCTCTGTTGGCCCCATCTGGCTGTCGGTTGCCAGGACATGCCTTAAACTTCTCTCTGACATTGACTGCTGCACTTCATCCTGGGCACCTTCTTTTGGACATGTTCCATATTATTCACATAATTTTTAAACTGTCGTCTGCCTAAATGGGCATAGTTCTTCAGTTTTATTCTAATTGTTCCAAAGCTCAGTAGGATGATTGTCTCTTGTTTTCTCGACACTGCAAGAAAAAAAAAAATTGAGCTCTTATGATGTGTTAAGTATTATGCCAGATACTTTGCATGTGTTCTCTTTTATCCTCACACATTTTCTGTGAGACAGGTACCATGCTCTTCTCATCTTCTCAGAAGCCAAGGCTAAGCAGCTAAAGTGACTTGTCCAGGTCGCTGAGCTCCCACGTGACAACAGAAAGATGCAGACTCAAATGCCACTCAGTTTGAAGTCATATATAAATCTGATAAGAGAATCTCATATGTAATTTGTTTAACTCTTTTACAGCCACCCAGTTATTCTCCCCCACGCTCAGCTCCATCATTTTCCGAAGACACACATATTATTAACAGAGAGATTATAGTGATAGAGATTATGGACTCTGGGATCTGAAAGATGAAGAGTGGGAGTCCTAACTGTCACATGAACTTGGGCTATTCTTACACCACTCTTGTTACTCTACCTCAAAAGAGGACATCAATATATATTTTCCTTTTGCCTCCCTCTGTCTCAAACTTCAATTTAAGGACCTCTTGATGAGATCCTTGTTTTCTTTCTAGTCCACTTAAATTATACCATTTACCTAGCTAAACATTCACTCTGTCTTCTCTTTTCCTATATCTAAAAGTTAAAGAAATCTTCACTGTTTCTCAAATGCTATAGTGTCCTATAGTGTTCTTTTTTTTTTTTTTTTTTTTTTTTTCTGGAGAGGTTTTTGCTATAGGGCGCGTGTGCTCGCCAGACAGACAGAGAGAGACATAGAGGCAGAAAGCGAGAAATCACCCCCCAGGGGGGATGGCCATGCCGCAATCCCTTCTCCTCCATTCTCCTCTCGAGATCTTGGGCACACATGGATACGCGCCCGATGTGAGTTTTAAGTCACCGGGTCTGGGACGCGAACCACGGTCGACTACGTGGGAGTCCAGCGACATAGCCATTACGCTAACTGCTGGTTCCCTTGTGTTCTTTAAAGTTAATATGAGTTGATTGGTTTAGTTTTCTTCTTTTTATGTTAGTCATACCTGTGCTAATCAGTGGAAGTGGGAGCTAAGCTTTCAGCCACTCAGCTGTCTCTAGAGGCAGTCTGTCACTGCAGAGAGGACCGAGACATGCAGCTCTTTCTACTGCTCTCCTCAGGAACTTAACAAAGTAATTTATATTAGAATTAAAGAGGTGGGCAACAGTGCAGCTTCATTAAAGTAAGTGCTGACAAACTTTCCTAAAATCTTCTTTTGGCCAGGTTATCTCCCACGCCATCTCTGAACATGTGGAAGATGCAGGCGTCCACTCGGGAGACGCCACTCTGATGCTGCCCACACAAACCATCAGCCAAGGAGCCATTGAAAAGGTCATCATTTCTAAATACAAGTGGAGGGGGTAAAGCAAAAGATAAAAGAAAAACCTCAGCTTTTTAAAAAACTAGATAGCACTGTAAGACATGCCTCGTGTTAAATTTGTATCTGGAGGATTGCTGCTCTGAGTCAGCTTGAGTATTTTTTTTTTTTTTTTGGAGAGATTTTCACTGTAGGGCGTGTGTGCTCGCCAGACAGACAGAGAGAGACATAGAGACAGAAAGCGAGAAATCACCCCCCAGGGGGGATGGTCACGCCGCAATCCCTTCTCCTCCATTCTCCTCTCGGGATCTTGGGCACGCACGCACACGCGCCCGGCGTGAGTTTTAAGCCACCGGATCCGGGACACGAACCGCGGTCGACTACGTGGGAGTCCAGCGACATAGCCATTACGCTAACTGCTGGTTCCCAGCCTGAGTATTTTAAAAAGTTTCCTTCTCTGCCCCTTAGAGCCCGTATGCTAATACAAATAGTTCCTAAACTCCAGTGTGCATCATCAGTGTGCACCTAGGGAACTTGTTAAAATGGAGATTTGGGACTCCACCCCTACTTTATACTACATAGTTTGGGGTGCATTTTGAGAATGGCAAGCTGATGCTGTAGCTGCTGGTCTAGGAACCATAGTCAGAGAATTGCTGCTGCAGGAGATGCTGATGTCTGAGCATCTCTTACAAGTGAGCAGCTTATGAAGCAATGCCTCTCAATCAGGAAGGGAGAAACAAGTGTTCTGCATTCCTTAGGAACTTTCTAGATCATATGTGCTCATGCCCTACCCTTACCTGAAAGCAGCACTTTCATTTCTCTTTTGAGAGCCATTTCTTTAAAGAACTGCCCAGGAATGTGACTCTGCCTCAGGACTCAATAGGTACTGCCGAGTGTACATTTAGAGCCTATCGTCTTAAAGACCGCTTGGGGATGTCCCAGGACTCTTCAGATATATTATATTAGGCCTGATTTTTTTTTTTTTTTTAGTGAGCTTTTCTAATGATCCTGCTATTAGAATTTGTGCAGGCCTGCTTGTCTGCTTGTGCATGGGGCTGGATTCTGAAGGTCTTACTTCGTTCTGGAATACGGAGGTAGCTAGATGCTTTGTAATGCTAGCAGCATGAAAGAAAATGTCCCTGGATTTCAAAAGTGCTTCAGTTTCTTATGTCAGGATAAATGACCTCAAGAACTTCAATTTTTCCAGATATCTCAGAGCTCAATATGCCACAGACTCTACTTCCTTTTATACCCAATTAAGTTGCTGAACCACTCTTGTAAGTGTAATGGGTGAAGAGCTCTTGCTTCTTGCAATCAGTGCCCCCTTTTGGCCTGAAAACCTTCTGACTCCAGTTGGATACAAAAATTCCTATATGTGACATGCAGGACCTCCCTGCAGGGAAACACCGTTTCCTTCTGGTCATAATATCTACCCTTATAGAGTCTAGGGCAACAGAAACATAACATAAAGGAAATCTCAAGTCTCTTTGCAGTACCTTGTAATTTCAGGGCCTGCACCTCTCAGCAGGTAGGTCATTACACTGATAGAGTTTGGACTGCAGTTTCTGCAGTAATTAGACTGAAAGGATTCCATTTAACCCTCAAAGTAAAACCAGGATATATGATTGTAGGTATATAGGGGCATTTCAAGGAGGGATCTTCCTATGAAAGTTATTAGTCTTTTCCTATGCTCTCCTGTTGTGACTATTGAGAGCATATTACTATTATTTTTTAATAGCGGCTTAAGAGTGCCTCCTGTTACTAATATAGATGTAGCTCTTTGTAAAGAAGGATGAAAGAAATCTGAAGTAAGGTGGTGTTTTTGTTTATCGATTTTCTTTTGTATTGTTTGTTTGTTTTTACTAAGGTATACTCTTTGGCACCATGTCATTTTTTTTTCATTTTGTTTTGTTTGGTCTAGGTGAAGGATGCTACCCGAAAGATTGCTAAAGCTTTTGCTATCTCTGGCCCATTCAATGTCCAATTTCTTGTCAGAGGAAATGATGTCTTGGTAAGAAATACTAAGGTGCTTCAGAGAACACTGCTGCTGTGTTAGTTCATGTTGGTTTGTGTCCTTCTGGTAATCTTTTCTGGAAAAACCAGCCAACCAGCCACAGAAGGACTGAGACCCCCTGCAGCTGTTCATGTCTGAGAGTGCAATGTTGCACAGCATATAATGCCTGCTTTGTTTGAAGGAACAGGCCTTAGTGGCACTGATATGTCAGTCACAGGTTTTAATGCATCTTTATCTACAGAAAAGATCACTGTATGCCACTCACAGTATAATATAGATAGATATAGTACATATTATAAAGTAACCTGAATGTGTAGAGTAGTTCTAAGTTGTATATGCTTTGCTACTTACTCAGAAAAGAAAGCTGTTTGGGATGCCATTTAAAAACTTAAATGAACTAGGCTAATCCTAAGTAATTTAGTTTATTTAATTTAACCAATCAGTATTCAATACTGAGTCACCACCTACTATGCAGCCATATGGTAACTACAAAGATATATAAGGCAGTCTCTGCTCTCAAAGATTTTTTTACTTTAGTAAGGACTAAATGATTATAAAATATGATACTGTATGATAGTTGCTGGAGAGGGTGTGAAAATAAAATGGTACTTGAGTTATACAGAACAGAGAGCAGTATTTGCTAGCACTTGTGCACATATGCACACGAGCATACACCTGGTCTGGAGTGGATCATTAAAGATTTCAAGGAAGATTTTATATTGTGAGCTGGGTCTTAAAGAATGGTTAGGATTTTGACAAGTTATGAAAGGTAGAGGTGATAGTACATATAGCTAGAATTTCATTTATAAGAATGAGAAAATAGCATATTTTAGAAGATTATGAATAGTTCAGTCTAGTGAGATCATTTTTCTAGATAAATAGAAGATAAATTTGGAAAGTAAGATTGGAGCTGGGAAAGTGGTATAACATTATAACGTGGAGTAGTCTCCTGAGGAAGAGAATTGAAGGTCTTCAGAGACAAGACTGTAATCTGATGCTAGTGGGAATTAAATAAAGTATTTTTAGTAGAGGTATAGCATTATCTAAGTTCTTAGTAAACCAAATCTGTCAGCAGTGTGTGGGCATGGAATTGGAGAAATGGGTTGGAAGAAAGCCAGAGTTCAAAAGACTGAAGGAAACAAATTATAAAAAATGAGGATAAAAGAGAAAAGATCAACAAAACATGAGCTGGTCCATATTTAATGACAGCTGGAAACCAAGTGGCAGAGAAAAATATTATTGGTGTTATTGATCCTCATCTTTCTCTTTCTCCTGTTGAATTTTGGTATCTCTTCAGGTGATAGAATGCAACTTGAGAGCTTCTAGATCCTTCCCCTTTGTTTCTAAGACTCTTGGGGTAGACTTTATTGACGTGGCCACCAAGGTGATGATTGGAGAGAACATTGATGAGAAACCTCTCCCCACATTGGACCATCCCATAAAAAAATGATGAAATTAAGGTAACATATAAAAATATATTTTATGAGTTCCAGTGAAATAAAGAAATAATTTCTTTAAAAATTTTATTACTTTATTATCTTGCAACTAAAAGTGCCAGAGAGGGACTTCTGTGTTCTTTCAATAATGCAGTGCAATTTTTCTACAGTCAACTTTATATGGATTTCAAATATTTAAAAATATAATCTAGAATGACATAACTTCAAAACTAATTAGCTGAATGAATTATAGACTATATTAATGCAGCTGATATCAAATGGTGTTAGTTTAGCTGGTAAATAGAAATCCTAGACATACTTCATTAGGATAAGGCTTGAATTGTGCCAAGTCTGTAGAAATGTATGACTCTTATAAAAGTGGTTATCTGCGAGGTTGAATTATTATCATCTTGACACCTTTGCTTAGTTCATATTTTCTTTAGTGGCACTTTTTTTTATTTGAAAAATTGAGATAGCAATTCACTAATTACTATATATAAGTATATTCATGTATTTGTATATGAAGAAGTGAAAAAACTAAATTTTTATAATATATAAATTTATATATATAACTAAGGAATGTTATCTGCGAGGTTGAATTATTATCATCTTGACACCTTTGCTTAGTTCATATTTTCTTTAGTGGCACTTTTTTTTATTTGAAAAATTGAGATAGCAATTCACTAATTACTATATATAAGTATATTCATGTATTTGTATATGAAGAAGTGAAAAAACTAAATTTTTATAATATATAAATTTATATATATAACTAAGGAATTTATATATTAAAAGTCATTATTTATTTTGTTGCTTCAGTGAAGAGAGTATTTGAAATTAAGACCTTTAACTACTTTGCTAGATAAACATGAAGATTAGTGAGAAATTATATAAATATACCTGAATTTCTTTTTTGGGGGAGAGGTTTTTTTTTTTTTTTTTTTTTTTTGGTTTGAGTGTGTTGAAGTGCAAAAGCAAGAAATGATCCCCCAGGGGAGATGGCCATACCACAATCCCTTCTCCTCCATTCTTCTCTCAGGGTCTTGGGCATGCATGCACACATACCTGGCATGTGAGTTTAAGCCACCAGGTTGGGACTCAAACTGTGGCCAACTACATGGGAGTCCAGTGACATAGACATTACGCTAACTGCTAGTCTCCCTGAATTTCTTAGATAAAACATACAATAATATTAATTTATATTGTGTGACATTGACATATTTCTGATGTTTTCATGGTTATTACTTTTATATATTTAGTGATCTCAACCATAACTGTGTTACATCTCAGATTCTAACTTCTGACTTTTCTAGTGAGAGCTTTAAAATGAAGTGATGAGTCAAAATATTTATTAATATTTTAGAATGTATTAGTTTTTATGGTGCATTGAGATAGAATGTCACTTTTCATGTTGAGGGAGGGTGGCATTTTATTCCTGGAGACTATGACACAAACATAAATTGTTAAAGCTTTTAGTAGGAGTACATAAACATCGAATTTGATTTGCTTGTCTGAGAACAATAGGTAGTAAGCACTTAAAATTATTTTTCCATTGGAGATTCTATATAGAAATTGAAAATTCATGCTTTTTATTCATAGACACAAGAATATATCCTTATTTCTTCTTGTAAATTTACATAAGGATACTATATATATAGTATATATATAGGATAAGGATAAGGATACTATATATATAATATATATATATATACTATATATATATACACCAATTTCCAACGAATCCAAATATTAATTAAAAATGCACTGCATTCCAGCTTACTTCTTTTTAAATATGAATCTTGATTTAAAAAATTGTCTATTATCAACCTTAATAGTCCTAGTGAGGTTAGTGAATATCAACAGGTAGAGTCTGGGAAGCTGAAGTACAAAAGTATACAAGTGGAGGGCTTCAGAAGTTTGTGTTAAAGTAAAATTAAAGAAGAGTTTATTTTGGTGCAAAAAATTAAAATCCATGCAGAGTATTTCAAAGTATACAACTTCTAGGGATTTTTTTGTTTGTTTGTTTGGAGAGGTTTTCACTATAGGGCATGCACGTTCTCCAAACAGATAGATGTTTGTAGAGAGACAGAAAGAGAGAAAGAGAGAAATCACCCCCCAGGGGGGATGGCCACGCCACAATCCCTTCTCCTCCGTTCTCCTCTCGGGATCTTGGGCATGCACACACACACACGCCTGGCGTGGGTTTTAAGCCACCGGATCCAGGACGTGAACCACGGTCGACTACATAGGAGACCAGCAGCTTAGCCATTACTCTAACTGCTGGTCCCTCTTCTAGGGATTTTTTGAAGGCTCTTTATGTATTGTCTTGAATAAGATGACCTAATGAAACAACCTAGGCTAGATTTCCCATGTAACTAGAGGAGTTCCTGAATGGATGAATAGTCTAGACCAGATAAATGAATATCTGCAAGAAACAAAAACGTGTTTCTTAGTGAATCACACTGATAAAATAAATGAAAAGGAAGCACTTACATATTCCAGTTCATACGAAAAGGACTAGGTAAATGAGTTTCCAAGCAGAATGTTTTTTAAAGCTTAAAGAGGTGTCAAAAATAGTTTAATGTCTCAGAAGTAAGCGGACAGACAGCCATTTCTGGCAAGTTCAAATGATCATAATAAGAAGAGAAATGTTTTAATAGACTATCAAGAAAAAATGAATCTGAACTCTGTATTTGGGGAGAACAATGCCCAGAAGATTATGTTTGAAATCTAATAAGAATATGCATAGGACAGATTAGGAACACTGATCTTGACTGACCCCAGGGCCCTATTTATAGAAATAATTTGTGATAATTTAATGCGAGTTTATGGTGGAGAGTTCAAGAAACTCTTGGAACAGAGCTTTAATGCTATTATTCAAGTCAGATGTTTGCACTGAAGAGATTCTTTACATGTCTTCTGTAGCCTAAATGAATCTTGGGAGCAATGATTTACTCAAAATATTAATCTGCTCCTATCACTCCTATTCCTTTTAATAACTTCCTCTCACATATTTTTCCTCCTTGATTTTTTTTTTTTTTTGGACAGGCTCCGATGTTTTCCTGGCCCCGTCTGAGAGATGCTGACCCCATTCTGAGATGTGAGATGGCTTCCACTGGAGAGGTAACTAGTTAATGATCCATGAATACTTTCATTAAATCTACTTTCAAATCTGTGGTTTTATGATGTGAATATAGTATAATAAGTAAGTAAGTAGTAGGGGGAATACAACTTCCTTCTGTCAGAGTAAGTCTCAAAGGGCTTACTCAAAGGTCTTAAGAATTTTGAATGAAAGAAAAGTAGCTTACAGTCTAAATTCCTACTTAAATTTCAACATAGAAATATAATACATGTGTTCTTAATTCATTTCCAAATTATGTGTGAGGACATCTTCCAAATATTTCTCTAGACAGCTAAGAAAATATCTTCTATGTCTTTCTTTTTATTTTAATATTCTCAAGTCTCTTTCTAACAGCACTGCATCCTCTGCCTTCACCATGAAACTATATCATTGTATTTCTTAAAAGCAATTTGTACAATGTCAGCATTAGAAAGATCATGGACATAGATATTATGGAATGTGCAGATCCATGCAAAATTCCCAGAACCATTTTCAAAGCAACCTTAACTTCCTAGGAATTATCTAAAAACTATAATGGGACTGGCCACTGGATGTCCCTCTTCACTTGTGTTGGGTCTGCATTAACTGAAGGTTTTCTTAAGAATGTGAAATGTGTTTCTTGTGAAGAGCTGTCAGATTCTAGAAAGTTCTCTACATGTCAGTGTCAGGACATTTTATGAATCACCTAGCCCTTGACAGACTTACTAGATACAACCTTCAGATTCTCATCAATGCACATTGGAATGGCAACATCAGACTGTGAGGCATCATTGTTTTGTCCTGGTATTAAGGAAAGCCTGAAAGAGGAAAATATTTAATTGCAACAAATACATGATGTTTTTATATGGTTGCCTGGTTACAAGCAAGATCTGTGACGAGAAGCCAAGTGAGACAAGAAGGCAGACTGTGAAGAATAAATGACTTTGGCTATCCTATTTGCAGTTGGATACTTAGAAAGGGGACTCTTAGTCCTTTTGTTGCTTCCTTTAATTCAATAGGCATGCAAACCTAACTGTAAAATAAGGACACTATGATAAGTTTTCAGTAAGTTTAAGGAGACATTCTTCAGATTCATCTTTATCCTCTCTATGGTCACTAGTAACAATATCCTCTTCAGCTGGCTTGGGTTCAGATTAGGAAGAGATCTGTTTTGTTCCAGTGTGGGAAATGTGTTTTTAGTTTTTATGTTCATGTTTCCTCCATATGTAGATTATTAACTTTGTTGAAATGTACAAATATGAATTGTAAATTCAGCTCCCACTTTATTTTTGCTGTTTGTAAAATATAAAGAATGGGGGCGCTGAGTAGATGTTGGATATAAAGAATAAAAAATTTCACTTAGATAAAAGGAATCGTTCTAGAGACCTATTATATAACATAGTGACTATATTCAACAATATTGAATTTTGGTGACTATATACAACAATATGTTGTACTGAAAAATGTCAAGAGAGTATGATTACACAGTGTTCTCATCACAAAAATGATCACTATATGAAGTAACATCCCTGTTAATTAACTGGGTGTAGTCATTCCACAATGTTTATAAACTTCGAAAACCTTATTATATATGACAAATACAGATAATTTTATAGTTCAATTTAAAAGTACATTTTTTAAAAGGCTTTTGCCACAGGGCACGTGTACTCACTGGAGAAAAATAGAGAAAAGAGAGGGAAAGTGAGAAGTCACCCTTCAGGGAGAATGGCCACTCTGCAATCACTTTTTCTCCATTCTTCTGGGATTTGAGGCATGCACACACCTGTGGCCAGTGTGAGTTTCAAGCTTCTGGATCCTGGACTTGAACCATGGTCATCTTAGTGGGAGTCCAGTGCCTTAACCACTATGCCACATGCTGGCTTCAAAGATAAAAATTTAAAAAATAAGATATAGAGAGAATTCTTCCACTATTAGAGTCATATTTCCAAATATCATAAAGTGTGATATTACAAGGTCTATGAATAACTGAAATCAGAATAATAATTTTAACTTAGTAAAACCTCAGTTATTCTTCAAAGAGACATTATCAGCATCCAATGACTTGATGTGGTATGGCTAAACCTCCAACTCTCTACCTAAGTAAAAAGTGTTTTGAGAGCAGCAGTTAGCATGATGGCTATGTTGCTGAACTCTCATGTAGTCAACCGCGGTTCAAGTCCTGGACCTGGTAGCTTAAACTCACGCTGGGCTCATGTGTGTGTGTGCCCGATATCCCGAGAGGAAAATGGAGGAGAAGGGATTGTGGCGTGGCCATCCCCCCTGGGGGGTTTCTCGCTTTCTGTCTCTCTGTCTCTCTGGCGAGTGCACGAGCCCTATAGCAAAAACCTCTCCAGAAAAAAAGTGTTTTAATTTTCCTAGTAAGAAAGAGGGGGATGTTTGTCCAATCTTATTTCAATATTTGACTACTTTCTATGTGTTTTTTTGTAGAAAAATGGCTTGATTCTCTTCTCTATCCTTGTATCTGCACTTATGATAGGATTGCTCAATTGTTTTCAGTAGAAATTGGGACCCATTAATTTAGATGGGCAGACTTTAGTTAGTTGACCAATATTTGACTTAGAGTGGTCACTATGGAGTAAATGGCAGTATGTATTGGGGGTCAACTGAAGGTTATAATCATGAGAACTTTCCTTGCACAGTAAAGGAGTCATTTGCTTAATGAATGAATTTAGCCATCAGTGTTATTTACTGTAATGGTGGTTCTGTACCTGTGCCAAATGATGATGTGCATGGCAGAACTGACTCCCATCATGTTCACATATACCACTTGTTCTATAGTTATGGAGGCTATTTGACTTGTTATATTGCAGCATAATCACTGATGAAGCCTCTGCCCACCCTAACATTGCTTATTAGTTGGAATCACTTTTTCTTCCTTTGTAACACATGGCTGTGATATTCAGACTAGTAGCGGGTATTTTAGTGCATTTTTAGTGAAAATGATTTTACAAAACAAGCTCCTTTGAGATTTTTATGGAGTTATTCAATTTCTTAGGAGGTTTTCTCATAAGCTGTATGGAATGACTCCTAACCAATGGATCAGCAATTACCCATTTCTGCTCCTGACCCATGAATTCATGACCTGCATAGAATATACAACATATACTGTTATTTAAACATTAAGTCATATTACCATTTGGAAACTCACCACGTTATGGACCAGAAGCTGTGATTTGTATTCAAATAACTCACAGTCGGATCCAGTTATGTTGCTCCATGGAGTGTTGCTGGATAGAAAAAGAATTGCTTATTCATTCATTATGCTTAATTAAAAACATAAGATACATCTGCCCTGGCCAACCTTTTAATCCCTAGATTCAGATTCCATGGTCTTTGGGCATGGAATAAAATCTAGGGAAGGTGACTAAGAGTAAATTGCTTTCTATTTACATTTGTTTTGTGTGTTGTTTCGTTTGGGGCACAGATGTTTGGCTATTATTTATTTCCTTTATTTTTTTTTCCATTTATTTCTAAACAGGTGGCTTGCTTTGGAGAAGGTATTCATACAGCCTTCCTAAAGGCAATGCTTTCCACAGGGTTTAAGATACCCCAGAAAGGCATCCTGATTGGAATCCAGGTAAGTGATAACTGGCTGTATGCATGCCCCTAGTCACACACTGTGAGTCACTGGGAGAATGGACATTAATTGTAGTACAGAAGGAGGAGACTGGTTTTATGTTCACTAAAGAAACAGAAACAGATCATTTCCATTTTTTTCCTGCATTAGTTTCCTGTTTTTTGCCTTCTCTTGTTGCAGCAACCAACACACAAATAAAAGGCAAAGGCTTTAGTGAAAGGGTATTTATTCTTAAATGGATTTAAGGTACCTTTGAAAAGCAGTTTCTTTCATTTATTATGAAATAATCTTTTCTGTATTTTTCTCTTATCTCTTCCTCCTTAGTCTCCCTGAACCTGTTTTCAACAAGTTTGAATCCGTCATCCCTGTCTCTTTATATATCTCTATCTCTGACTCTATCTCTCTATCTCTGTCTTTGACTTTCTCCCTTGCTGGCTTATCTCTATCTACAATATCTGTGCTCCTATCTATACCACCTTTAAATCTCCATTCTCAGCTATTCCATATTTCCAACAATTTGCTAGATACTTCTATTTGGATGTCTCAGACCCAATATTTATCAAATTGTCTGTTCTCCTTTATTCATTTGATTGATTCCGACCTTCACATGCCAATATCTACTAAATTCAAAGAATTCAAAGTTGAAGAAGACATGGGCATTCTTTGAGAAATTTTCTTAACCTGACACTCCTGGTTAAAAGTTCTTGAAGGGAAGTGACTTAACAGGCCTAAGAAAGTCAGCATATTAAATAGAAATCATAAAAGTCCTTGAAATAATATGATTTGAAAAGCCTTCTAGGTCAAAGTAGGGTGAGATAATTATGAATAAATATCTTTATATAATAAAAGGACATCATTATATATTACTGTAAGTCAAATGTAAGCCTTAGGGAAAAGTAATAGAGAAGAAATATATCGATTACTCCTCGAAATGATTACTATGAGTGTGTACAGCCTATTGTGTTTATAAATTTCCTAAAAAATTACTAGATGTTTCCAAACTGGTCACTCAATTTTCTTTGAGATTAGTAATTCTTGGGTCCTATAAAAACAATGGATGATTTTTTTATAACACCCCTGCAGTGCTTTTAATAGACACAAACCCTGCATGGTTACATAAAAATTAATAAAAATATAATTAGAACAGTCTCAGGTATTATTAAGCCAGTGGGTGATTATTATAGAGCCCATCACATTAGGGTGTCTTAATATCAGCAAATTGGACTTTGGAGACTGGACAGGTAGTAGCTTTGGAGAAGTTTCTGCAAAGAGTAACTTGAGATTTTGTTTAATAAAGGTGCCAGAAGGACAATGGTGAATAGTTAGAACAGAGGCTAACAAGATGACTTGTAATTGTGAAGTTTAATGGCAGTTTAGAGACAAATCACACCATATCAGAGAATCATCATGTTATAAATGGGTATTAAGTATTATTAAGTCCCCAGTATAAGAATAGTTGCCCAACTTCCAGTTATGGCTTAAAGTTTAATGTGAGACCTGGGGGCATTCAGAGGAGACTGTGCCCTTAGTCCTCATCTTCACAACTAATCATAATTGTGCTAACATTTTAAAATACCAGTTTAAGAAGGCAGTGATGTATAAAATTGTGCCTTGTTTGGTTCCAGTGCTGCAGGGAAATGTTTGGCAAAAATTAATTTGTCCCTATGAAATATTTGTGTGAGTTTGGCATCAGTGAACAGAATTTTGCTTTGTCGGAAGAAAGGGTTTTGCAGGAAAAAAGTTTTCTTAAAGTAATGAGGTTCTGTCTGTTGAAGTTCTACCTTTTAAGGCATTCCTTAAAAAAAAAAAAAAAAATCAGTGTTCCAGTAGCTGCATAAGTTGTTGCAAAGAACTTTCTGCATCTGAGGGCACAAGGTTAGAGATTTAAAAATATTTGTATTTTAATCACAAAGCAAAAAAGTATTTTTAATAAACATTTAATAAAAATATACTTAATAAAATACAACTGTAGTTAAGTTGAGCAGTAAGACTTAAAGCCTTCAGAAAAGCTCAAGGTTCATTTTCTGACCTATTTTATACTAGCAAGAAATACCAGCAGTCAATGTGTATCTCCATTACTACATGGGAGATTTTCATGAATAGTGGTCTTTAAAACTACTTAATATGATAAATCAAAGTGAAAAACATGACAGAATATACTAACCAGAGAGATAATAGCTATAAAAGCCCCTAGACATTTTCTTAGTTAGAACAAGACCAAATCTAATCTTGTCTTTATACCCATGCTTCATAGCAGCTACAGATAAAGTAATTAGGGTCCTGTACTTCAGGATAAAAGTACTTTTAAGAAAACGTTTTATTTAGTATGACCTCACTTAGAAGAATTCATATAAACTCTTTTGAGTGTATAAAGTTAGAACCGAAAGAAAGTCATAAAATAGTACTGCTAATATATCAATGGAGACTAACGCTAGTAAGTAGAATGGGTCTTCCATTTACTTGATGGAACATCCAATTTAGGAGGAGTTATGTAATGAAATTCTAAGAGAGAAAGCCCACAATTGCACTTTGATTTCTTAAGGTAATCATTCACTCACTGTAATGCCATGTGGACATCACTCACAAAAGAGCATTGGTAGCCAGCACTACTGTGGTTAATTTGCTTTATTGTTCCTTTATGTATAAGTGGAGAGGATGGTCAATATCTAGATATACCATTTATTTGAGGTAAAGGTCTTCTTTACTTTTTATCTCCCCTCCCTGACAGAAGGCCTGCTATATGAGTAGAAATATTTGGTTAAGATACCTTGCTTGACTCATTAATTTTGCACAACAGGTTTCAAATAGGAGATCCAATGAAAACTGGAGAAATAGAGAAATAGGAAGTTAGGAAAAATGTGACTCTAAGCCAGGAAACATTTTTTCTTACTGTTGGAGTCTTAATACATGTTTTAAATAGGCACTTATTTCTAGCAAGTTGCATCCACTTCTCAATATCTAGAAAGTAGATTGTGTGTGTCTGCCTCTGTGTGTGTGTGTGTGTGTGTGTGTGTGTGTGTGCGCATGTGCGAATGCACATGTGTACTTATTATATGGCGGTCTTCCAAATGTTTTATCTTTCTCACCCTAGTCCTTTACACATACAACCCTCTTTCTGTCTTTCAAAAGCTAAATCCTATGGGTTAAATTACCTAGGAAGTTTGAAATATTCATAAGATCAGTCTTGTGTAGCTAGGACTTAGGAGAAGGAAGGATCAAGATTTTGGTTTTGTCAAAGAATCCTTGCCAACCTAGCTATTGCATGCACTGTGTCTCTACCAAGGGATTTTCCATATCCCAAGGCATTTCTAATATAAGAAGGCATAATGCAGGTTTACATGGTCACAAAATAATCTTTGATTTTCCTGCAATATTTCCAGCCTCCTTTCTTCCCACCAGGATTTATTTTTAGCTACGATGAGTAGGCAATCTGCCTTATTTTGAAGTTTTCTGGAACTCTAACAATAAATGATTTACTCTAGAGTAGATCAAGAGCACTGACTGTTTTTCCCCTGATTGGGCTATTCAGTGATGCTTGTGGAGTGGCGTTCACTAACCTGACATCTGCGCTTCAGCATTGCTCAGAAACACAAAGCAAGCATTTTATTTGAAAAGACAACTCCAAGTGACATGAATAACCTTTTATCTTCAATACAGAATCATTAGAAACAACCATAGTGTTGTCAATCCAAACGTCCCTGTGGAATCCACAGGATCACATAGTATTAACTTGGCTTTCTTTTTTTTCGTAGCTAGAAGTTGGATAAATATGAGAATGGTCATATGTGTATTTCCCTTTTAAAATACTTCCTTCTTTATAAACATTTCCAAGAAAATAAATCAGCTTGTACTTTTCACCTTTAGTAACAAATGGTTTCTTACACAGGTATTTTCAATCAGCTTTTAAATCGGAGGCTACTCAGATGCGAGCTGACAGCTGTAATTTCTTTTTGTAGAGAGGCTGTTTTATGTGTCACAAGTGTTCAATACATGTTTGATAGAAGTTTATAATGTGCCTATGGACGCCAACACCCCAGACCAGAAGGCAGAGTGGTTCCCTGGCTGGGAACTGCCAATAATGTCATGTTGGATATTTATCTTTTCCACTTGGGGGACAGCACTGAAACAGCTCCATAATGAGGTTCTGCCTAGTGTCTGCAGGTCTTAGAGGACTTGCTGACTTATTTTACTTTAAAATGTCAAGGGAAAAAAATTACTTTCTAGTGCTCCTCCCTCAACATTTTTCATTGTGACTTTGGCCAAGGTTAATGTATCTTGACCTCAAATTATAAAATGAGCAAAAGATATTCCTCCTACCCACCGATTCCCTCCCATTTCTAAACCCAAGTGTGCATAAGAATCACCTAGAAGGTTTATGAAACTTCAATGGCTGGGACCAGTCCTAAATTTCCTGATTCAATGGATTTGAGTTGGAGCCCAAATTTTATAGTTTAAACAATTCCCAGGTACTCCTACTGCTGGGTTGGGGACCACAGTTGAGAACCATTGAACTGTAAAATGATATTTTAGAAACCTGGTTGAAAGTGATGCTATAACTTATTGTTATCACATATATTATCAGTGACTTTTTGCTAGAGAAAAGTATGAAATATTGGGTATAGTTAAGTGCATGATGTGATTTGGTGCTTACCTGAGCCTGCTCTGTCTATAACAGAAGGTCACAACGTAATGTCACATATTAGACAGTGTGGAAGTCCATTTTGAATATTTCACATGTGTTTATTATATATCAAAGAACCTAAAAAACTAATATATATAATTCAACCCGTTGCTTCCCAGGCAATATCAAACTTGAGCACACAGTTGTCCTATTGTTCTTCTTAAACTAGTCTCTTTTTGCCACAAGTTTATTTAGTTATTTATTTCATGAGAGAGAGAAACACACACATAGTGAGAGAAAGAGTATGAGCTACCTACAACAGAGTCTTCATACTACAACCGCCTTCAGCCTCAGCTGGTCTAGATTATGGGCATGCACATGCTTGTAATGTGCAGGGATGCCTTGGGTGGCAAACCCAGGACCTTCCCTCATCAATCCAGCATTGCAGTGCTGTAACCACCACGCTACCATCTTGCCCTGCTTAAACTACTCTTAAGGAGACTGCCAAATGCCTCATTAAATGAACATACAGTCACTAAGAGCTATTTTTTAATTTTTTTCAAAATTTATTTTTAATCATTTTTATGTCTAGTGATGAGCTTTTGCATCTGATCTCATTTGTTTCTGCTTGGTCGGAAGTGGAAATGGAAAGCTATTATCTTAGGCATGGTCACAGCTCATCTTCTAGAAGACTGTCATGAGTCACCCCTGAGTCTACCTTAGCCAGTTACTTTTAGCTTTCCTATTTGCCTATATTCTTCTCTCATAAAACTGCAGTTCTAAGACAGAGAGGGCCAGAATAGGAAAGAATTTTCTATTTGAACATAGTGCTTTTGATATTTTCTTAAGATTTATTGGGTTGTTGGAAAAGTCATGATGCATTTTTGCATAGAGAAACAGAAAAATACATCATGATTTTCAGACAAGCCAATAGATCTAGATGTTCTCAGAAAATCTCTGTAAGTACATATGGGGAGGTTTTATGGGCTGAATATTACCAAAATTGTGCAAGGATCTTGATATTTTTTGTAATCACAGATCATATCCATGATTTTTTCAACCATCACACTGTCACAAATATGGTTTCTAAGTATATCATAAGCCATTTGCTAAAGTAAGCAACTTATCTCATCTGTTTAAAGACTTTCTGTTAGAGAAACCAGAAAAAATGCTTCCACTTAAAATAACATACATTTTTAACTGTATATGATTTTAAATGTTTAGCTTAGTTGCTCAGGCACTCATGTTAATAAGGTCAGAGTCAAGGTTTGATCTTAGGTCAAGTTAGTTTTGTTTTTCTTTCATCTTGACCAATGCCTTACAAATACAAGCTCTGGTCTTAGGAGGTATGTTTAGAACTGGGAGAATTCTTGATGCCAGTGGGCAGGAGTTCAGAGAAGGCACAGTCCAAAATCTAAATAGGTCTGTTTTGAGTCTTTAGAGTAACACAGCAGTGGGCTGTAGGAAAAATATATGGGCAGTGAGATGGAATATCTGGGATGCCCATATGGAAGTAGAATGTGTATGTATGAGGGGGAAATTGGTTTAGACTTTAAGTATGACAGTTTATAGGACAGCCTAGGTAACTGTGACACAGTGGCAAGAATAGAGTCTCTAGGAGGATAAAAAATATTTTAATCACAGTAATAATTAGTACTTATTGAGAACTATTACTGGCCCAGTCACTCTGCGAAGTCACAGCACTAACACTGATATAGTGCTTACTTATAAATTAGCTTATGGAATATTCACAATCACCCTATGATGCAGGTACTATTACTATTCTTATTTAACAGATAAGGAAACTATTATAAAGAGGTTAAGTGGTTTCCCAAATGTTACACAGTTTAGAAAGTTGTGGAGTATCAACAGGTAGAAATACTATTATTGTTGTTAATGTTTTAAAAAATGAAAGAGTAAGATCTAAAAGACATTAATTTCCTAAGTATTACTACTGAATGTTGAAGCTAAGATTTGAAATGTAGCTTAGTGAGTCTGAGTGTTTTCCTTTTTCATTTTTTAACTGAAAGAGAGAGAGAGAGAGAGAGAGAGAGAGAGAGAGATATGCAAGATAGGTATATCTGACAGGGTTTTGAGAATTTCCCTAGTCTCTTGGCTAAATTGGACCACAGGTCCATGCCACTATGCCTGACCTGTTTAGACTGGATCAGGAACCGACCTACGCCTTCCATGTGGCCTCTGCCATCACACAGAAGTGCTTTCCCACTTGCACTACCACAGCTATGCCCAAAGTTCATCTTTTAACCACAATTTTTTATTGTGTCAGGATAAATGCACAGTTGAATTCCAAATGGTTGAGTTATTACAGGTACCTATGGATGGGTCACTAGGATAATGGCCTAGTTATTCAAGGGGAGGACAAAAAGAGAACTCAGAGGTTATTGTAGATTAAACCAGAAAAGAAGTCTGACTTGATGTTGAGCTCTGAGTTGATGTTGAACTCTGACCTGATATTGAGCTCCTGACCCAGGTGGCTACTAGATGTCCACTGACCAGGAAAAAGAGCCATGAAAAACTGGGGTGGATTAATATATGGATCCAACGCATTTCCATATATTTTTCCTCTTTTGTTTTCTGTTTCCATAGGAGGTCATACTTTCCTCCTATTACAGTTTGAGGCAAAACTTCTCTGTAGTCAATACCTCTACATAAAGCCTGGTTTAGTACAACAAAATTATTCTTAAGGTTCAGGGTGGACTTTTTTTTTTCTTTGTTTTGCTTTTTTGCTTTTTTTGGAGAGGGTTTAGCTATAGGGTACCTGCACTAGCCAAAAAAACAGAGAGATACAGAGGGATAGAAAGTGAGAAATCAACCCCCAGGGAGGATGGTCGCACCACAGTCCCTTCTTCTTTATTGATGCACAATCTCCTTTCCGGATCTTGGGCACACACACACACACACCCACCCAGAGTGAGTTTAAGCCACTGGGTCGGGGACTTAAAACTGCGGTCGACTACATGAGAGTCCAGCGACATAGCCATTATGCCAACTGTTGGTCCCTGTTCAGAGTGGACTTATAATTGTGGGACTTTGTTAACCTGATAACAAATTTTCATCCATGAATAACCTACAAAGACTAAGTGGATAAAATAGAGAATTAAGATACTTGGGAAGAGGTGAAAAGCACAGCACAAGACAATCTGGGTAAAATTTCATCTATATCGGAAAATTTCTAAAAACTCATACTCACTATAGAAGGATAAAAAAGATAAAAACTTGCCTTCTTTGAATATGAAGTATCTGTGACATACGGCACATTGTGTTTTATGATGGTATGAGAAAATACCATATTGTATATGACTAAATAAAGATCGAGTATATCTAGAAAGTGATTTTTTAAAAACACATTTCTTTTCAGCAATCATTCCGTCCAAGATTCCTTGGTGTGGCTGAACAATTGCACAACGAAGGCTTCAAGGTATTTTATATTAATGTTTTTCAAATTGTCTTCTATCAGCATTGAACTCTATTCACAAAATCCCATCTTGCAGAACCTTACAAAAATAAATACCCCTAAAGATGTCCTTTCAACATGAAAGGTTTAACTAACTTGGCAGTTTCAAAACTTCAATAAAGTAAGTAGGAAGGCTAGTTTTAAATTTTAAGAGAATCAGTGGAACTTCATTAAAAGTTGCCAACTACAAACTTAGAAAGTTTAGCTTAAGCATAATTTGGCTAGAAATCCAATACATTTCGATATATTTTTCCTTTTTTGTTTCCTGTTTCCATATGAGGTCATAGTTTCTTCCCGTTACAGTTTGAAGCAAAACTTCTCTGTAATCAATACCTCTACATAAAGCCTAGTTTAGTACAACAAAATTATTCTTAAGGTTCGGGGTGGACTTATAATTGTGGGACTTTTATAACCTGATAATGCATTTTCATCCATGAATAATTCTCTTTTTTTCCTCTGCAAAAGCAGCTCCAATCAATGTTCTTAATTTTTTTCCTCTCTGTAACTACTAGGTCATCAGGAAAGTCATGACGTATTTTCAAAAATGCATCATGACTTCTCTGATAACCTGTTATTTGAAGACTATTTAAATGTCCATGCCTTTGTGTTCTGAATCTACCTCTCTCTCACTATGCTAGTGCTCAAGTTCATTAGTTTCTTCTTTATGTTTTAAAAGACAAATATGTCCCATAAGCTCCATGAACTCAAGGAATCTCTGTGATACATTAACCAATTTTTTCCATTTTAAATGCAGCTCTTTGCCACGGAAGCCACATCGGACTGGCTCAATGCCAACAATGTCCCTGCCACCCCAGTGGCATGGCCATCTCAAGAGGGACAGAACCCCAGCCTGTCTTCCATCAGAAAGTAAGAATGACATAGACTGTCATTTCTGAGATTAAAAAAAAAATGGAGAATTAGCTTTGGGAACAACTATATGAATATTTCACCTTACTCTACTTCAAGTCTTTTAAAAGTCCTGTTAGTCAATCAGCTGAGAAGAGTAATCTGTGAATGAGAGTAAAGTTTCACTTTTGTAAATTTTAGAACACATAAGGTGCCATGTGCACATGCTGATACATAACATCTATCAGAGTAATTCCTACTAAGTGTGCTTTCTTTCATGGAATTAAGTGAGAGCATAAGGAATGTAATGGAGCATTCTACATTTCGTATCACTTACACTGTGTATATGTGTATATCAAGGAAAAGATTGATCAGCTACATCTCACTGAGGTTGTGCATCAATAAATTGGTCAATTTATTGAGCACTTGCTGCTTGCAAGAAACTGTGGTGAGCACGATGATAATGCCACATATCGGCTTACTTAATTGGCCATTCCTTGATTGGGCTGGTTATTGTGACTTAGATCATGTCATCATTAGATTTTGTAAAACATCTTATTTCAGCATTTTGTGAGAGACTTCAGGGACATCATTGCATCAATACTTACAGAACTAAGAGGCATTAAGTATATAGGAAATAATTTTCAGTCATTGCAGAAGATTACTGCCTACTGATGGTTATGTCATACCAATTTTTTTTTCCAATATACCACTTGTTAGGGCCCTTAGGAAGTCCACCTAAAAATCATTAACAAGTTAATAAAATAATGGTGTGCTTAAAATTTAACTGGCTTCCAAGGTTACTATAAGCTTAGGGCTTTGTAAAACAATGATTAGCACTACTTCATGGTTAGGACATTTTTAAAAAAATTAGTGGAGGATGCATGTACTCATGAGAGAGGAGAGAGGAAGGGAGAGAGAGACCCCTATGGGGGATGATTACACCACAATACCTGGTCCATGTCTCCCTTTTGGGATTCTTGGCACACACACATTCCAGGTGTGTTTCTCAAGCCACTGAGTCTGGGACTTGAACCATACAGTAGGCCATGGTGGGATACCACCATGCCACAGGCTGGATCTGTGATTAGGAAATTTACATGTTTTCTAGTGTATGTACCATTCCAGCAACAGAATTTGAAAGAGTTCACTCAAAATCAGGAGACCTGCCTTCTCATCCATCTCATGAAAGGCCCTGGGAGGCAGACAGTGAAGTAGAGTCAATGCAGCAATGGGAGCAGGGTGAGGAGAGGCCTTCAAAGCTTGAGGGATCACCTTTTTGTAAAAAACACATTACCAGTTCTTACTGTGGACCGATAGCATTTTGAAGTGAAAACAAACCTTTGCCTTCCATTAGTTAGGCTTGTGGCAGAATTCTTTCAAGAACACAATAAAAAATGTATAATCTCCAAGTGAGTGTAATTTGACCATCCACTTAGGTCTAGAGGAGGGCAGGTGGCAGTCAGCTCAGTATGGTTTTGACTGGAATGGCTAAAAGTAATTCATGTTGGTATTTTAACAACTAATTATAAAATATGCATTGTCTCTCACAAGTTTTTATTTATTTAATTTATTCTTCCAGATTGATTAAAGATGGCAGCATTGACCTAGTGATTAACCTTCCCAATAACAACACCAAGTTTGTCCACGATAATTATGTGATTCGGCGGACAGCTGTTGACAGTGGGATTGCTCTTCTCACTAATTTTCAGGTATGTTCTTTTCCTCAGTTATAGGCTTCCTGGGGATTTATTCCTGTGCCTCTCTTAAGAGTGTTAATTGATACACTTGACCCCTGAGCAACATGGGGGTTGGGGAAGTGAGTCCCTGCACAGCCAAAAATCTATGTGTAACTTTTGACTCAACACACCAACCGTAAAGCACATCTTTATCTCCCCATCACCCATTCCTTGTAATGTTCAGAATAGAGAGGAATCATCAATAGAATCTAAAGTAATGATGCTGAAATGGTAGGTCATGACCAAAATGGGACAGTCAGCGATCAAGCAATTGAATAAATCCAAAGCTACATGTAGTCATGGCTCCATCATTACCCATAACAATTATCCTTTGAATAAAAAAGGAGAGGGTGCATGGAATAAAGATGTAAACTTTAAGCCCGTTTGTAAAAGCAAAAGGTAAATGACAACTGAAGGTCCACATAGACTATATGCATCTGTCCAGTTCGTAGAAAATTATTCTGTGAGGTATGTCCAGTTTCACTAACTCCTGACCAACCAAATTTATCACAGGGAAATAGATGTGAAACTAATTAACTTCCTGTTCATTGAGTTTTTCCCGGAGTCAGTTTTAATCTTTATGGGGGGGAGGGGAATAAGTTTATTTATTGTGATGTCTGAGATATAGGTGGGAATCGCCATTAAATAAATTTATGACTTTCATTCCATATGCCTTTGAAAATTGGGGGCAGACTCATGACTTTTTGCTCCTGATTCATTAAACATTTTCTTTCATCTTGTGTGGGTTGCTAAGAATTCTACCTTTATATTTTCAGGTGACCAAACTTTTTGCTGAAGCTGTGCAGAAATCTCGCAACGTGGACTCCAAGAGTCTTTTCCACTACAGGCAGTACAGTGCTGGAAAATTAGCATAAAGAAGCAGATACCTCAGCTTCATTCTTAACTCAACCGTTCCCATGTTTTATCTAAAGGAACTGATTCCCAACCTCGTTTCCCAAAGATGAATATTGAAAGCAAACCTTCTTTCAGTTTAGTCTGTTATGCCTCAAAATTCTGTCTCTTTCACAAATTGTGTTTCTTCTTCAAAACTTTACTTAGAATCCTTCCCACGTAACTTGTTCATGAGATTTTATCCACTTAATAACAACTTAGTTTTGATGGACTAGACTTACCTATGTGCTTGTTTGCAGCTAACATTTTATGGTGCTGATTAATGATGATCAAGGTGGAAAAAAGTTGCTGTTCTATCTCCTGGACTCTGTACTTTAAAGATATTCTTGTCATTGTTTTTATTAGTATCTGCCTACCCAGGACGCTTTAACAGGGCAGAATACCATAAAAATTTGGTAAAATGAACTGTAGATTTAATTTATGAACTTCTCCATCACGATGTTTGTGCATTGCTTCTTTCTGATCATCATTCTCATCTATCTGACCAACCCAGGTTATCCTTATTCTTTCCCTTGACACTGAAGTTGAAAAATGTGACAGAGGCTTTCTGGGTCTGTCTTTAAGGAATACCATTTTGCAGTTTTGTATTTTGGAGTATGTCAGCCAACAGTAGACATTACTGAGGTGGTTTTGTTCTTGGTTTTTCATTGGATTTAGCTAGGGGCAAGTGAAGTCTTCAAATTTAGGCCATTCGTTCTCTGCCAGTTTTGGAAAAACTCCAGTGTCATGTTCAGAGGATGGATTCTGTCGACCACACTTCACAGTGAATTTTGTACATGTTAAGCACCAGAGTACCATTCCTTCTACATACAAAGAAAATCCTTCCTGCAGGGCAAACTTTGTTGCTTTTAAATGTTTTGTGGTATTACTTGTACTCTAATTGTGAACTTTTAAATAAAATGCTATTAAGAGGCAACACAGCTGTGCTCTTGATCTTATTGATTGATTGATTTTATATTAACATACAAAAAAACCAGTCACTTCTACAAAGGAACAGGGTTTGGGGCTGGGACTACATTGCTGATTTATTTTTCCTATGTAAACCCATGCAGGATATACGCAAACCCACATTAGAAATAATGGAGCTTCAGCTGTTACATTTTTCAGCCGTGTCTTTTGCTTCTAAAAATCAGTATAAAATTTATGTTCTGATTATATATACTATCTTTGATTTGGACCCTGTCAAAAGTATAGCAAGAACCACATACTAACTAAAGATAACCACAACTATATAGTAAAGTAAAATTTGTACAAATGTCTTGCATAACACAGAGAACACTACTAAAGCCCAAAAAGAAGCTGACCCGTATTGTCTGACAGAGCTAGTGGCAATGGGCATAGGGATGCCATATTCCAGATTTATTGCTGAAAATGTGGCTTTGTGAAGGCTCTCAGATTAGAATGCCCTAAAAGATTTATTTCTTTCCCCTCACCCCACAGTCAGTTGATTACTATTTGATATAGATCCACAGGGAATTTTCTCAAATTCATTTCTCCTTCGTAGGCCTTTGTTACCATATAGTTGAAATCTTCATTGCTTCTACCATGTAACCTTGTACGTGTGTAATTCCTGATCATTCATTCACCGGGAAATATCTGCAATGTTTTATGTAGAATATAGCACAATCTCTTTTCCTACTACTATTTTAGTTTTTTCCATTACTATACTTTACATCACCACCACCACCACCATCATCACCCTGATAACATTGTGAGCATCTATTGTTTTTCCCAAGTAGTTTTTTTTTTTTTTTTTTTTTTTTTTGAGGGAGATTTGTTTTTGCTATAGGTCATGTGTGCTTGCTGGAAAGACAGAGACAGAAAGCAAGAAAATCACCACTACCACCACCACTCCCCTCCCTTAGCCCAGGGGAGATGGCCACATCACAATGCCTTCTCATCCATTCTCCTCTCAGGATTTTGGGCATGTACACACACACACACACACACACACACACACACACACACAAACCCTTTGTGTTTCTTAAGCCACCAGGTCCAGCACTTGAACCGTGGTTGCCCATGTAGGAATCCAACCTTAACCACTACACCACCTGCTGGCCCTCCCAAGCACTTCTAAACACTTTACATGATTTAACCCATTTAATTCTCAAAATGCCCCTACGAGTACATTATGTTATCTTCATATTATGAATAAGGAAAGTTGGGCATATGTAAAATGCTTATGGTCATGGAATGCGGTCTCTCTCCCTTGTTTCTTTGTATCTTATATTCTGATGAAGACAGACATGTAAAAAGAAATCATTTCTAACAGAAATAAAAAGTAAGGGGACCAGCAGTAAGCGTAATGGCTATGTCGCTGGACTCCCATGTAGTCAACCACGGTTCAAGTCCCGGACCCAGTGGCTTGAAACTCACGCCGGGCACATGTGCATGAGTGCCCAAGATCCCAAGAGGAGAATGGAGGAGAAGGGACTGCAGCATGGCCATCCCCCCTGGGGGGTGATTTTTCGCTTTCTGTCTCTCTGTTTCTGTCTTTCTGGTGAGTGGATGCACCCTATAGTAAAAGCCTCTCCAAAAAAAAAAAAAAAAAAAAAAGAAAAGAAAAGAGAGAAAGAATAAGAAAAAGAAAAAACCAACAATTTGTAGCAATAGTTAATTTTTTTCTAAAGGTTCTTATTTCTGTATTCCAACAGACTATTTGTAAAATATCATAAAATTGGAAGAGTAATAATTCAGGCAACATAGTTTCTTTTTAAAAAAAATTTAAAAATTAATTTATTTATTTACATTTAATCACATCTTTACAGTATACAACATTTCTGTTTCCAGCACACATACTATGCATGTCAGTCAAATCAAAGATACTACTCTATAACTTATCAACAAATAGCTTCTCATTTTTTGTCAATTAAGCATACTTTTACTTGTTTCTTCCTTCTCCTTTCCCTTCTTTCCCTTCCATACTAAACTTTTTTCCACATTTTATTGATTCACAAAATACCTTAAACTAAAAATATGGACTAAGCTGGAATCTAGTGACAAGTACACTGTAATTTTCTTCTGAAATATTTTTATAATTAATTAATAAATTTACATTCATTTCCTGAGCATCGTCAGATCATACAAAATGTCATTTCTGATCCAGGATATACTGCATAGTGGCTTAATCATACATGTTATTGTCAATAATTTACCATTTCTGGTTTCATATATGTGTGTGTGTGTGTGTGTGTGTGTGTATGTATACACATTATGTCTACATATCTATATATCTATATCTATCTATATCTATATTTTACCCCTATTTACTCCTATTTCTCACCCTCTGCCGTTTCCCACCCTCCTACCACACTATCTCAGGTGTCTACAGTTGTTTTTCATTCCTGCCCCTGCCCCCATTTTATTGATTCGTAACATTTCTTAAATAATGTAACTACTTTCAGTAGCAAGTTCAGCTGGTATATACATATCTTTGAATACATGTCTGACTTTAGGCATGAAACTCTGAGTAGAATGAATAAACTATAAGGTAGCACCTACCTGATGCTACATAACTTACTACAGCTATTAAATAGGTATTTTTTAATATATTTTTTAATTTTAGGAAAAGCAGTTTTAGCTTTATTGCATTAATTGGAAAGACACCAAATAGCACAATAAAGGAGAAGCTTGAGAGACCAGAGAATACCTTAATTTTTTTTTTTTTTTAAAGTTTAAAAGTCACAGTGAGACAATTGGAGAGGAGCTAGAGGTAGCCCTACCCACTAGAAATGAATCTGGAGGGGGAAGTCTCAGCAGAAAATCTTCATTTCTGGTCAAGGAAAGCAGTATTTCACAGCTCAAGTTAGGTGTCCATCTAGGATGGGCCTAGCCTGTTTTCTTTTTTTAGGCAACATTGTTTCTAAAAAAGTCCTGTGCTTTTTTGTTAGTGAATTATAAAATCTTTGGAAAAGCAGAGATTAAGATTTGCTCTCTCCATGGTGCTGAAAGTGAATTGAAATTAAAATTTTTTTTGCCTGTTTTCTATGTGCCAAAATTTTAAAATACAAATAAATAATGCATTAAAGGCACTAGATTGAATGCAGAAAGTGCAAGAAAATGGAAACATTTGTGTTTGCAGTTGGCAAATCTTTGTTCTTTTGAAACATTTTTATTCTTTCATATAAACAGGTTAACACATTTTTAAATGTCTGAATCTGCTATATATCACAAGTGCAGACAACACAGAGACTATGTCTGTAGAGCTTAAGAGTAAATCAAAATAGCTTTTTCCATACTGAGAATTTAATAGCATGCAAGAAGTAGGGGCTCTATTGGGTGGGGAGAAAAGGAGCTCAGTCTGTTTGTGAAATGAAGAGGAATAAAGAATGATCCATTTATAGATTTAAAATTTCATAGCTTTGGAAAAGTAAGTAGAATATATTAACTGTACCCTGTCAAACTTTCCTCTTAAACAGCATTCCTACTAGAAACTTTTAAAAACAGCTACAGCGTTCATTTATCTCAACAGCTGCAGGTACTTGAACCTCAGCTTCTACAGTGTCCACAGCCTCTTGAACAATGAAAGTGGAAATTATCAGACAAACAAACCAGGGCTGAATGCAGTTAAGTGCTCTGTAATTACACACCAGTGTTACCATTTGGCTGCTGGTGCGGCCCCCTGTGGACACAGGTGCCATAAATGCTCACACACACCCGATCAAATCCACAAAGGCCTTTCATTACATATCATTTAAGATACCTTTATCTTGAAAAAAAAATAGCTCAACTTCTTCCTTCTTTCTCTTACAATTTCCTTCTGCTTTGTTCTTACATATGAAAATTCTATTTTTTCTAATGAATATTACTGTGCTATTAAATGAGAAGCTGTTGCTATTGGTGAGTGTGAAGGTAATGTGGCAGGAGGAGGACTGTCTATCCTCCCTCTGAGTGGCTCCCTGGGTTCTGTGAAAAATTGATAATAATTGTCCTTCGTTCTTCTTTTGTGCATAATGTAGGGTGCAAGGGCTCCAGAAGCAGAATTTAAGTACCTACAGCTGTTGAAATCAATGCAGCAATGGGGGGAAAACTCAGCAAGGCAAAATTAGCACCGTTTGTGTGTGCTTCTTAATGCTTAAAGATCATTTTTTGAGTCTTTATGACTTTCGTTTTATAAAAGATTTGTATCCACAAAGCAAACTATTGATTGTTGACCAAAACAAAACAAAAACAACAAAAAATAGGCTTTTAAGCAGTAGTAAAGGTCTACTTTCCCCTGAAACTACCAACCTAATATTAAAAAAAAAAAAAAAAAAAAAAAAGAGTTTCCTAGAAGAAACAAATAAACCACGGAGAGGAGTTTTTGTTCATCAAAGGAAGTAACAGCAGCAGTTAAAAAAACCAAACAGGTATTTTGTTTCCCTGAATGACAATTTCACACAAAGATTCATGCAATTGGTCAGCTGAAGACAGGACAAGATATCATTAGCATGCAGAAAGGAGAATAGAATTCAGCTTTCAAAACATGTTATTAAAGGAGAGAAATAACTTAAATATGTATTTTTTTATTAATAAAGGTACATTCTTTTTTTTTTTTTGAGAGATTTTTTGCTATAGGGCACGTGCACTCGTCAGACAGACAGAGAGACATAGAGACAGAAAGTGAGAAATCACCCCCCAGGGGGGATGGTCACGCCACAATCCCTTCTCCTCCATTCTCCTCTCGGGATCTTGGGCACGCACGCACACGCGCTCGGCGTGAGTTTTAAGCCACCGGGTCTGGGATGCAAACCGCGGTTGACTACGTGGGAGTCCAGCGACATAGCCATTATGCTAACTGCTGGTTCTTAATAAAGGTACATTCTAACATCCAGGGCCTACATGACTTTGCTTTTCTTCCTGAAATTTGAGGCCATTCAGTAATCTGTTTAATAGGCTTTCTTCTACCTGGCAATGCAAGGTCGTGGAGGTTGA